ACTCTTTCCTCTCGCTCTCTCTATGGCAACCATTTTTTAAATTAGCTTTTTGTCTACTCTTCCATAGAAATAGACAAGAGATTCCAGTCTCAACTCTTATTTTTAATTTTAGTAGTACTCATGACTAAGATGTATTACAGGGAAAGGCTACAAAGCAAAATTGGCAAAGGGAAAAGCTGCATGGGGCAAAATCCAGAGGAAACCAGACCCAAGCTTCCAAGAGTCCTCTCCCAATAGAGTCACACAGGATGCCAAGTCTCAACTCTTATATAAAACTTTACTTGTTCTTTTCAAAATAAAAACTATCTTTATATTATATTATATATATATTATATCCATTTTTTTTTCAATTTTTTTCCATTAGCAGAACATTATGGAGTCCACTCCATAGTAGTATATGGATATTCCTCATTCCTACTGACAACTGCATAGCACTCCAATATGGAGATACCATGGTTTATTTAGACAGTGTCCTGTTGATGGACAACTGGTTTATTTCCAATCTTTTGCTATTTACAAAGTATGCCATAATGATTAGCCTTGTGTATACATCACTCATTTTTGCCAATGTATCTTTGTCTTAGATTTTTAGAAATGGGATTGCTGGGTCAAAGAATAGATACATAAGTCATTTTTACAGGACAGGGCCAAATTCCCTCCTACTATAGAAAACTTCTGAAATGATGCTACCAGCGATCCCCAATTCCTAGTAAATTGTCCCTTGAGTGCAATTTATAAGAATTATGGGATGTCACTTCCAAGATTAAATTACAAAAGACTGACTTCTGTTTTGCTCTCACACTCTCTATTTCTCTTGCTTGCCCTAATGAAGCAAGCTGCCATGTTGTATGTTGCCCTATGGAAAGGCCCATGTGGCAAAGAACTGAGGGCAGCCTCTGGCCAACAGCTAACAAGGAAGTGAGGCCTGCAGAGCAACAATTTGGTAAGTAACTGAATTCTGCAACAGCCATATGAGTGAGCTTGGAAGTGAAAATCCCTCCCCAAACTGAGTCTTGAGATGGCTGCAGGCCTGGCTGACACCTTGATTGCAGCCTTATGAGAGACCCTGAGCCAGATGACCCAGCAAACCTGCACCTGAAATCTCTACCCACAGAAAGTGAGATATTAAATGTGTTGTCTTAAGCTGTTAAATTTTGGCATAATTTCTCATGCAGCATTAGTTAACAGCTATACCTGCATCGGGGTTGTGCTATGTATACTCTTAACCATTAGATGTGTAGGTAAAGTAGAATGCTGATTAATTGATTAATGATGAGGTCAACTGATGAGGTCAGTTGGCCAATGGTCTTGAGCAGCATTGTGTGGGACTCTAGCTCTGGCTTTGCCCTGTTCTCCATTTCATCAGTGGTTTGGGGTGGCTCATCATGCACATGGTGGAAAAATACTCAGAACCAGAGGGTCCTCAACCAACTGAAACAATGACCAAATTGTTTGGATTGTCATATGAACTACTTATAAGCTTGACAACATGCTTTGTGGGGAACTACAGGGAGCTACAGAGGAGGCTGGGAGCCAGAAGGCCTTGCACCCCACTGCTATGAACAGGACCTCAGAGAGTGTCCTGGCCCCAAGCCAAGAATGGGATTAAGTTAGGGCTATCAGATGGCACAGAAGTAAACAGAGAAAGGTAAGGAATGATGTCTATCAAATCCCCCAAAAAGAGAAAAGGATTGCAAGGGAGTGAAGGGCATTTTCAATTATTATTCTTTGTCTATCCTCAAAAAATATTTCTTCGAAATACAGTGACTCAATAAGTCTGCATCTGCCTTTAGCAAGATCTCCAGAGGATTTGTGCCTATACTGAAGTTTGAGAAACTCTGGCCTATATAACTAAAGTAGAATTTTAATTTTTTATAGCAAGCACCTGTTCATGTACTACCTGTGCAATTAAAAGATGTTTTAGAGATGAGATTATAAGAAAATTGAAAAATCAGAGGGGAGATTGACCCACCTGGACTGGGTGGGAAGAATTTAGTTCACTGAGCCAGCCTGGAAGATGATATCCTGCCACATTCCTGAGAGCAGAGGAGCATGTGTCTGAATAAAAGACTCCTGAGAGTTAAGGCAGGAGAGGAAAAGGGGAGAGATCCAGAACAAGCCCTCCAGATTGAAAGTTCTATTTACGTTCATGAGCAGACAGCTGGCCATGGTAGAGCCTCATAACAGTGTGTAGAATGAAGGAAATGTTAAAGGATCTTAGATCTAGAAGTAACGACAGCAGAAATACTGCAAAAGACTGTCTGTCACTGGACTCACAATTCTAAGGACATCGTGACAGCAAGTAGGAAAAAAAGTAATTCTTCCAGCAATTACCAGCTTCTCCCTTTCTCAGTTCTTTTAGATAAGCCTCCAGCAAGAAGCTGATTTCCAGCTGCATGTAATAAAGAAAAGATTTTTTTCTTTTTTGTTATGTTAAATATAAGCAAATTGATTAAATACAAGACAGCGTCTGATTGCTAGTGATTCGGATGGTAAGGCAATGGCACCTGCAGATGATGGAGGAGGGGCAGGAGGGGGAGGAAGCCAATGCAGTGTCAGTCTGAGCCAAGGACACTCAAGGACTAAGCTCTGGAGGAGGAAGGATTTGATATCACTTCATCCAGCCTCAAGGTTTGTGAGTCCAGGATGGTAAGGGATGCCAGGAGTTGGCTGTGGACACAGAAGTAGAACCCAGGGCTTCCTTCTTTCTTCACCTTTTTTATCCCCTCCCATTTTTCTCTTCTCACTTCTCAGCTCTCCCTTCTGTCTGAGTACCTTTTTCAGTATGTATATTTTACTTCAATAAGAAGTAGGTTTGAGGACGGGGTTTACTTTTGTTTTTGTTGTTTTATATGGGTAAGTATTGAGTAAGTAGAAGGAAAATATTAGTGTAGGTTTTTTAAATGCAGGCAAGGAATGGGAATTTACACTGCAGGATGTGAGCTAAGCCATGGAAATTTAAGAAGGCTAATAAATGAAAGGGTTCTAATCAAAGAAGACTTCCAATAGGAGCTGAGCTTTCAGCCAGGCCTTAAAGAAGAAAAGAACCTTGGCAGGTGTAGTAGTTAAGCAATGACTTGGAGCTTGACTTGGAGCAGAGCACTCTAGCCATTGGCCTCATCCTCACCGTGGCACTACTAACCCCATGGAGGGACTCGGAGCTGGAGGAAGTGTGTATATGCTCACCTCCTATTCCAGCAGGGAAAGCCCCTCTCAGAGCCCATATTCTAGAGACTGACTACACAAATGGACAATGGCCAGGCCCTATGTGACAAAGCACTTTGACAGAACCCTTGGCAGTAAACGGTCTGGAAAGCCAAACCACAATCTCTGCAATAAATAATAGACCTAGAATAAGGACGATGTCAATGTCTGCCAGCTTCCTCCCAATCTCCAGCCACTCCTTCCTTTCTTCCAACTCGGGCCCAACCAGAGAAAGCCAAATATGCTCCCCAACCAATCACAGAGATGCCCCTCTTCTAGTCAGACCCCCCTTCAGGGTCCCAGGCAAACACTTGAAGCCTCCCTTTCTTCACCACAAAGCTTTCCCACTGCCTTCCTGCCTTTGAGTCCCTCCCTGCCAAATGCACATGAATATTGGCTGACTTTCTTGCAATTTCTGAATAAACAGTCTCTGTTTGTTCTCATTTGGGTGACCTTAGTTTATTTCCATATGTCCAAGAGAGAATCTGGCCACAAACTGAACATACACATGAAACCAACACCCAAATCAGGAGGTAGAGTCACCCCCTAGAATGCCCCTTGTGGTTCTATCCCTCCCAAAGGTAACCATTCTGACTTTGAACACCAGGGCTCAGTTGCTTGTTTCTGTACTTTTTATATGAACAGAAGCATATGGTGCGAACTTTTTTGTGTATACTGACTTCTTTTGCTCAGTGTCATGTCTGTGAAATGTGTCTTTGTGGTTGTGTGTAGCAATATGTTCATTCATATTCACGGCTATATGCTAGTATTCTACTCTGTGACTTTACCACAACTTACATATCCACTCTACTGTGGACAGACATGTGGGTTGATTTTAGTTTGAGGCTATCATGAACAGTGCAGTTAGAAACATTCATGGTAGATATAAGCTCGTTTCTGTTATAGTCCACATACCCAGGAGTGGAATTGCTGGGTCATAGGTTATGCATGTGTTCAGCTTTAGTAGGTACTGCATTTTCCAAAAGGTTATATACCTATTTACATTCCCCTAAAAGTTCATGAGAATTTCAGTTGTTCTATATTTTCATCAACATTTGATCTTATCAGACCCTTTCATTTTAGCTTTTCTTCTGAGTGTCTTCGTAAATTTATACTTAATAGTTTTCTTATTCCCTATAGGCTCTTTAGTGTTACTATTTTCCTAGATTGTTATAATTATTAATAGTATATAACTGATCAAAACAACACTCGTTTCTCTTCCTACCCCCACCCATGCTTCAGGAACACTCTTCTACACCAGGGGTCTCCAATCCTGGAGCCAGAAACCAGGTTGCACAGTAGGAGGGCAAGCGAGGCAAAGCTTCATCTATATTTGCAGCTGCTCCCCAGCTCTAGCATCATAGCTTCAGCTCCACTTCAGATCATCAGGCATTCAATTCCCATACGAGCACCAGTCCCTGGTGCCAAAAAGTTTGGGGACTGCTGCTCTAGACCATCACTATTGTATTGGAGACAATAGGTGGTAAAAAGGGACTCTTAGAGTCTTTGCTTTATGATTCTGGGTCTCCGAGCCCTTTTCTAGCACTCTGCGCACAGTAGGTACAAAATAAATTTTGTACAAATACATAAAATGATGATATGAAAGCCTGTTTGTCTCCACCACATTTCCTGAGCCATCCCCAACTATTGGAGGATATGCAAGTGTCTTCCTCATTTTAGGCCTTAGACCTGATACAGGAAAATCTTTTAATAAATAATGTCTGTTGAACAAACTGACCTCCAGAGGCCTGGCATTTTTAAGGCTTATGCTCTTTGCCCTGCCTCATACAGCCTCAGGCCATTGAGCCTACCACAAATACGATGATTGTAGTCATATTGTTATAACATCCCTGAGACTATATTAATTATATATTTCATGTTATTACACTATTATAGCAGGTGGTAGATCTTGGCACACTAGAAAGGGATGTATTAGTGTGAAATCTCACTTTAAAATTGGGTCTTGGGCTCCAGACACCCAATCAGCTATGGGTCATAGGCATAGAGAACAACCAGGTCTGGGGCTCAAAGGTCAGTTTTCCCTTGCATTGTCCCCGGCAGTCCTTCCTCCCATCCAATCTTGAGGACTAGCTGTAAATTGGGTCATAATGGTACCCCTTTCATAGGGACATTGTGAGACTTAAAGGAGTTAATATATATTTAAAGTGCTTAGCCAGGCACACAGTGGGCACACAGTGAAGCATAGGGTAAGTGGTAGCCCTTTTAGTTACTGCTGTTGTTAGCAGCAGCAGCAAAAAAAGGAATGAGTAATGCTGGGTGACCATGCCCAACAGTACATGTGACCTTCACGACCCTGGGCTATAGGAAAAAGAGCAGAAGGGTAAGCACAGGAGAATCGTGATTTTCATCTACAGAGAGTTATTGCCTCCAGCCCAGGTTAGAACAGGAACCCTGGACACTACTTTCCCGGGGGGTGAGATGGGGGTGGTGTATTCTTGGCCATCAGCTTTGTGGTTGCACTGGCAGAAAGCAAGGGCCTCAAGGCCTGGATGCCTCCATCCCTAGGAGACTCCCATGAGAGCAGGAGCCATGGTGTGGAATCTGAATCCAGCCCAGTGGCATTTCTGCCTGCTGGAAGGGGTCTGTCAGAGCCTAGAGGAGGCCCCTGGTGAAATGGGGCAAAGTGCCACAGAACATACCCATCAATTGTCACCTCTTTGGGACAGGGGCAGAAGCCAGACACTTCCAAGGAGCTTGTCAATGGAGGCACCCCGTTTGGTCCCCTCTTCCTAAGACAGGGACATCAGTGCTGCTCACACTCTGAACTGGTTCAAGTGGGATGTCACCCACAGAGACCAAGAAACCAAGAGGGGAATGCCTAATGCTGCCTTAGAGAAAATAGAGGGCTTTTGCCACAAAATCGTCCCCACCCAAGTCTGCCATTTGGTTTTCTGAACCCCTCACTCTCTTACAAAAGGAACCTATATAGAAAAAGGAATCGGACAGCAATGAACAAGACTGCCCCTCAGTCCATAATTATTGAAGCTGGTGGTGGGCACATAGGGGTTCTTATTTTATTTTTCTTATATATGTATTTCGTATATATTTTTTCCTATATTCTATTTTTGTGTGTGTTTGAAAGTTTGCCATAACAACAACAAAAATGTTTCTTAAAAGAAGCTATGAATATCCAAGGCCTGGCAGGGTAAAGGGCATATTCCTGATCTTTGACTAAAAATTTCTCTAAATCCGATTACACCTGAGCACATCCAGAAAGGAAATAAAGTGAGGTATGGCATTGGTCTGGCTTCAGTAGGTCATCAAGTAAGGTCCACTGTGTTTCCCAGGGAGAGAGAAGCATCGGCAGCTCTGGAGCTTTGAGAGAAATGTTTCAGCAGTAGAGAAGGTGGAAAGAGATTTATATGTATGTATCTTGGCTGCTAGTGAGTCTGACACAAGCCCAGGATGGCCCAGCCTTTAGCCCAAGGTAAAGTGTGCTTCCCCAAGTCTCTAAGTATAGGGGACTGGGACCAGCGCTGGAGGTGGAGGCCCTCCCTCTCCTCCTTGGGTTCTGGCCTCCATCACCCAGGCCATGGCTGTGAGGGTAACCTGGGCTCCCTCTTACATGCAACAACCTGCAGCTAAGAGCCACGCTCCAAACCCAGTAATCCCGAGATCTGACACATCTCATCAACCACCCTAAGCCCTCCCTTGGCCACAGGCCTCGATACACCAGCCAATTCCCAACCTTGCTTGAAGCTGGCATTTTAGAGAGGTCTTCAGGTTGACAATAGCCAAAAGACGGATGCCAGTCAATGAAAGCCAAGGCAAGGACTCTGGGTAGCATAGTTTGAAAAGTGCCGGGTAGGTCCCTGAACACTTTCTACACACCTTACCCAAAGGTATCTCCCACACATCTGGGAAGGTACACTTCACCTTGGGCTAAAGGCCGGGCTGGGGCCAGGAGCCTAGTGCCATCTTCTATACCGGTCACTGTGCTTGAAATCCCACCACTTAAATAGCATTCTTTGGGGTTACATGTTGCTTTCTTAAGACACTTTTTTCTAAAGATACCCTGGGAGGGAAACACATTAAAACTAGCACCTGTGTATGAATTGTTCACTGACCTGGGTAACTACGAGGGAGGTGGAAGCACAGAGGGCAGGTAAAGAGTAAAGGTGATGGAAGTTGTTCAGACAGCTTGTATAGGGACCACGCCTGGTTTCAAGGTACAGGTTATTGGGTTTGAAATGAGGGTCAAAGAGAAGTCCAGAGGTAGAGGTAATTAAAGGTAGAGGTTGCTGAAGTCCCCTAGTGCAGTGCAAAGAAAGATTGTAGCAGCCAAAACAGGGTGCAGAACCCTGCAGGCTGACAGCCTGTGGGTGGGCCATAGGTGACCTCTCACCACCTAATGTCTCCCCAGGGCTGTAGTCCCTACCCCTGTGGAGCCCAGAAGTGGAAGCAGCTCCTGAGGCTCCTGTGTGTGCCCCTTGTCCAGAGATGGCCACCTGAAAAGAACCCCCTATCCATCTGACTGCTGGGGGGTACTCCAGCCCGTACCCTGCACAGCTCCCCAGTGGATGTGCCTTTCTCTCCACTCCCCAACAAATCCCCAAAGCACAGGATAAAGTAAGGGGCAAATAAAAGTGGAGGAGGCAGTAGGCTCTGAGTCTAAAGATGTTGCAAAGTACTCCAGCCCCTCCAATTTGAATAGTGATAATAACATGTCTCCCACACTTAGTAAATTCCAGGAACCATTCAAAGATTTATGTAGATAAATTCATTTAATTCTCACAACAACACCAGGAGATAGATGATAGATAGATAGGTAGATATACATACTTATCTATTTACTTATTTAGCTGAAAAAATACAGGCACAGAGGTTAACGCCTTGCCTAAGAGCACGGAGCAAGAGAGAGGCAGAGTAGAATGCAGACCTCGGCCACCCTATACTACAGAGTTGTACCTTTACCCACTGGGCACTGTGCCTCTCCTGCCCTCATCTCTACCAGGCTGGACAGGGGAGAGGTGGGAGAAGCATTTAGTGGCTACCTGGTCTGGGCCAGTCACTTAACAAACACTTGTATGCTTCAATCTTAGAAGAACCCAGAGAAGGATGAGCTATAATACTCGTAGTCCACATGGGGAAGTAAGACCAGAGAAATCTGATCTTCTGCCCAGGCCACACAGCCCAGGAAGGGGTGGAGCTGAAAAACAAACTTTGGCCTGAGCTCTGTCCCAAAGGTCCCCTCCACAGCTCTCATAGGGATGGGAACCAGAAGAGAAGGAAAGGGAAAGGGGTGAGAAGGCTGGAAAGAAGCTCTGGAGGGTGTCCTCAGCACCAGCAGCTGCCTCAGGCTTCCCCAGGGTCCACAGGAACCTCCAGACCTCCTCCCCAGCCTTGCATGGGTGGAGAACCAAAGAGGCAGAGGACCATAAGCAGCTCCAGTGCTCTCCAGGGTGCTCTCCGGGGCAGTGGGCTCAGGCTGGGCCACTAGGAGTGAGGAGCAAGGTCCTGTGGGTCCCCTACCCCAGATATGCGCTGTCCACTGCCAGGGACCAGGGCAGGATGGGAGGCATTGCTGACTCCCTGCACCCTCCAGCAGCACCTACTGATTCGTGGGCTCGGGCAAACAGGGATAAGGCCTGGACGGAGGCACCTCCTCCAGAGGACAAGGGCAATAATCCAAATTGCTGGGTGGACAAAGTCTGGCACACGCAGGGCAGCCCAGGGCCCAGAAAGCTGAGAGAGCTGCAGAGTGCATGAGCTGGGACGAAAATGCTGCCTCCCAGGACTGTCAATGGTGGCGTGGCCTCCAGCCAGGCCTGTGGCCCCCTGGCTCCGCTCTGACCCAGCCTCCAGTGGGCAGGACCAGCTCCGTGGCTGGGGCTGGATGTACTGGGGAAGACAAGTGGCGGGGAGGACCAAGGTGCTTCACTGCAGTGGGCGCCGCCGGTATAGCATAGCCACGACTGCAGCCAGGAGCACCCCGGCCACAGCCACCCCAAGCCACGGAACCCAGGGGGGCGTCCCAACACACAGGGACTGCTTCTCTGCCTGGGGCTGCAGGGCAGAAGGTGGCCTGGGGCTGCCCTCTAGGAGGTCGGGGCTGGGAGCCTCAACCACATGCAACCTAAGGGCATCCACCGACACGTACTCATTCTCCTCTGGGGCGTTGTCAGGTCCTGCACCCAACGTGTCACTGTAGCTGATGGCAAGGTCCGCAGAGCAGCCAGAGAATGGCTGGCTACTCATGCAGGATTCCAGCCTGCCTGGCTTGCTCAGCTCTGGCTCCAAGCCCAAGCTGTCACAACTGCTGTCTGCATAAGGTGAGCTGCCTCCAGCGGTGGCACCTGTGGGCACTGGAGACACTGGAGTGTCCTGGTCAAGAAAGGAGAGTATGGATGGGACTGGAGATAGCAAGGGGACGAGCCAGGTTGGGCAGCCCCATTCCTTGGCCAGGGCATGAACTAACACCCTAACCCTGCAATTCCCAGCCCATAATGCCCATGAGGCCACCCTCTCTTGGGGATTCAAACCAGTGATGATGGTACAGGAAGGCAGTAGGGGAGGAGGAGACCCAGGCGCTACAACAGCACCAGCGGTGACCTCCTCCAGGGCAGCCATCTCCCTGCCTAGGAGCTTAGCCCCACCCCCTCAGAGCCCTTGGTGGTGTGTGGCCCCATTCTGCATCACATTTGGCCTGGGCCTTAGGGCCATGCAGTGGTTGGCCACAGTACCCAAGGGGCCCCCTGGACTTGGTTCTTCTGGGCAGACAGAAGTAATAAGATTAGATGTGCAGGCTTAGATGGGCAGCTCAGAAGCGGGGCACTGCTGGATCAGAGCGGCTACCCAGGCTGGACGGGCCAGGGCTGTTGTCTGTAAAACTCTGGTCATGGAGGGACAAGCTAAATATTCCAGTGGTGAAGAGCAAAGTGTTGAGGCAGACAAGCCACCCTGCTCTGCCCCTCACTGCTCCCTTATTTGCAAAATGGCACTGCAAACTTACCAGGGAGCTGTGAGCTCTAAATGGGTTAATAGATGTGACCAACGGGGGTGGCCCACCACGCCTGACCCTCCTGAGGTATCCACACTTAAGAGTTCTAATGGTTATTATTACTCTAAAGGGCATGGTGCAGGGTCTGGATGAGGCTGCTTCTCAGCTGTCCCTACACCTTCAAAAAGGCTCTGGACCAGCCCAGGCTGGAAACAGAATGAAAACTAGGAAGGGTCCAACCAAGGACAGGGCTAGGGAGGGGTCTGGATCACTACTAGAAGGGGTAAGGACTTACCTCCAGGCAACTGTTGCTGCTCCTAATGGTGGGTGCTGTGTTGGCAGGCACCTTGCTGGGCACTGTGCTCATGGGCATCCTGTGGTCAGACACCAAGCCAGTAGGCACCTTGGGTGGCACTGTGCCAGTACGCATTGAGTTGACAGGCAGTTTGGACGGTGCCGGACCGGTAAGCACATTAGTGGGCATTACACCAGGGGGCTTTGAGCTGGTGGGCAACTTGGAAGGAATTGTGCTGGTAAATGCAGAGTGGGAGGGCACCTTGGAGGGTGCCGTGCTGGTGGTCATAGAGTTGGTGGGCACCCCTGCCCCAGTGGAAGAGATAGCAGCCTTAGCCTGGTCACCAGCACCCCTTGCAGAGGCCAAGCCAGTGGAGGAGGTGGAGGAAGTGCCAGTAGACAGAACTGACACTGGGGGGCCAGGCAAGCAGCTTGCCCTGGGGGCGGAACGGGCCAGCGGCTGGAAGGAGACAGTCGGAGACACAGGCCCACCAGGTGATGCGAGGCTGGAAACGCGGCCTGCAGGTGGCAAAACAAAAGGGGAAACACAGACCCACAGGAGTGTTACCTGAAAATCACAGTCTCCCTGGGATCAGAGGGCTAGAGAAGGGTCCCTCTGCTCCTACTCACACCACCTCTATGGCATCAAGGCCTCTCAACCTCCTACCTGCGGAGAAGTCTCCACAGTCCCTTTGGTTACTGCTCCCAGGCCTGAAGTTTCAATAGCTGCAGGAACATCCTTGGGCCTGTCTATCCTGAGTCCTTGACCTATAGCCCAAGGCTGTTCTCTCACAAGAATGAAATAGTCTGTCTCCCTAATAATTTCTAGGAGCTTAAAGATCATTATTAATTATCTGCTCTGCTTTTTCTTCTCCTGCCTGACACACACACATACACACACACACACACCCCTTTCCTCCTGTGTCTGCCTTTTCCAGCTTCTCCTTAGTCTGGTGGAATCCTGGATTCTCCGTCCACCGCCCTCTTTCCTCCTCACCCCACCCACAGCAGGAGCAATCCTAAACCAGGAAAAGGAGCAGTAGGATGGCTCAAACAGAATAGCTCACACCAGTCATGTGGCCCCAGAGGCTCTGCCAACCCTCAGTGTGTGCAAATCTCCTAGGAGGCCTAAGGGTTTAGGGTGGGTTCTGTGCAGAGACAAAGCCACTCCTAGGAGGAGAGCCTACCCTGGGGGAAGCAGGAGGGAGCAGGTAGTGACAGTCCATAAAGATAGTTCTATCAGGATTCTCCATGGAACTCTGAGAATGCGCACACCAGGCCGTATGGCTGACAAGGCCATGAGTGATTCTGATGTGCCCCCCACCCCAAACCTAACAGCACAGGATCTCACGGGACCTGTGTATATACGCATCCTGAAACTGAAGTGTCCTTTGCCTACCAGGTCCACAGAGGCATTTCCTAAAAGGTATTTTGTGGCGAACTGACATTGCAAAATGCCAATGGGTACTTGGGGCATAGTTTTGGAGTGACAGGAGTATGGAACACTGAGATGACTTCTCTGAGCCTTAACTGCTCATGTGCCTTGTGGCTGTCCCAGGGGCACTGAGGGCTGGCTGACACCAGTGCCACGTGGAACACAGTTTGGGAAATAGTGGTACAGAGAGATGCCAGCCTGGGGGTCATAGTGGGCAGCTCTATATTCCTGGGGGGGAGCACTGAGGTCTGGTATGGGGTTCCAGGCCCTTGGCTGATGAAGACCAACCTTCCCCTGGAGGCTGGGCAGTTTTAGTGATTTGCTGAGAGCTACAGACCCCTCTAGTAGGTAGGGCACTACCTAAGGGCTCCCCTGCAAACAGTATTCTTTCTGCACTGTCCTCCAGGTGCTGGCAGATCCCTATAGAGTCTCTTTGGTAGAGTGCAGAAGTGGCCCTAATTCTCTTCTACCTGTATCCACACTTTCTGCAATGTGACTTTGTCAGTCCTCTTCTCTAGGGATGGAGTCTATGTCCCTATTCCTTGACTCTGGGCTGTCCTGTGACTTGCTTTGGCCCACAGAATGAAGCAGAAGAAACACTGTGCCAGTTTTGAGCCTATGCCCCAGGATCCCCCTCTTTCTCAGAACTCTGCTTCGTTTCCATGAAATGGACTTGTCTGCTGGAGGATGAGACTCATGGAAGAGAACCAAGGTACCCCAGCCAACAGCTATAGGCAGAGCTTATGTTTACACTAGTGTGTACATAAGAGAGAAAGCAGCCGAGATCTGAACTGCCTAGCTGAACCAGCCCAAATTGCTGACCCACAGAATCATGAGCCAAATAAACAGTCGTATTTTAAGCTACTAAGTTTGGGGGACTGTTTGTTACACAGTAAATGCTAACCAATATACTCTTTAAGGAACTGGGTTGTTCCCTGGGGTGAACTCCCTTTATTTCCACCCTAGCCTCCTGTCCAAAGAAGCCAGAGAGGCAACTCTAATCCTCACCCTAACTGAGAGGTCAGAGAGGCCCTGTAACTCCAAGTTCCGCACATACCTGCTGTGTCGGTACTGCTTGGTTCTGTGTCCTTCTCCTGAGGCCCACTGGAGGTCATAGGGCTGAGGGCTGCCATGTTAGAGGAGGGCTCCAGGGAGCCACTGGGCCTTCTCAGTACAGCCTCAGAGCTGGGTGTCTGCGGGGCCTTCTTTGAACTCTGCAAAAGGGAAAATGTGAATAAGGCAGTTGTTTCTTTCTCCCAGGATCTGACAAAGGGCAGCTTATATTTGTGGGGCAGCTCCTACAGGCCTCGGCCGATGCCATGGAGCACAGAAAAAAAGGAAGGCCTTGCCTTGGCTTTGGTCATTGCCAGACCTTTTGAACCCACCTCATAGACCCCACATACTCATCCCCTGGGGAGTCCCTATCCATCTGTCCCTATCCATCTGGCCCTAAGGGGGAAAGGTCCCCCTTTCTAAGGCCATTGCACAGACCCCTTGCTTGGGCTTTCCAGTCCATGGTTTGGTGTCTCCAGGACACCCATTGCTGACTCATCATATCTCAATAGAATCAGTCACTTTTCCCCCAAACTTCACTTTCCTAGGAATAACTACAGCTCCACCATGCAAAAGGGAAAATGTGAATAAGGCAGTTGTTTCTCCCAGGATCTGACAAAGGGCAGCTTATATTTGTGGGGCAGCTCCTACAGGCCTCAGCCGATGCCATGGATCACAGGAAACAAGGAAGGCCTTGCCTTGGCTTTGGTCATTGCCAGACCCTTTGAACCCACCTCATAGACTCCACATACCCATCCCCTGGGGAGTCCCTATCCATCTGTCCCTATCCATCTGGCCCTAAGGGGGAAAGGTCCCCCTTTCTAAGGCCATTGCACAGACCCCTTTCTTGGGCTTTCCAGTCCATGGTTTGGTGTCTCCAGGACACCCATTGCTGACTCATCATATCTCAATAGAATCAGTCACTTTTCCCCCAAACTTCACTTTCCTAGGAATAACTACAGCTCCACCATCCACCCACTGCCCATCGCCTCCTGCTCCTTTACTCCCCGCCCATCTGGTCAATCCCTGGTCCCTCGACAACACACATGCACCATTGCAAAGACCTCACAGCTAGATGACAAGAGGGTTCGGGCTGCCACAGGCTGAGCAACAGTCTGGGAGCTGGTCTGAGGCAGATCCTCACTGGGGAAGCCCTGGGGTTCTGAGCAGAGATTGGGCACAACTTATGGGGGGCAGGAGAGGAGTTCTGGAAGGTTGGGTGGGCAGAAGCGGGCAGACGGCAACACAAAAGCAGGGGACAGAGGTAGGTTACGAGGACGCACCTCTCCCATGGACTCTGGCAACTGGGTGTCCTGAACAGGCATGGGGTAACTTGACTCCTCGTTTCTGTAGCTGTTCTTGGGGACACTGAGGGCCAAAGCGGGTGTAGAGGATCCTGGGGCCTCAGCAGCAACTGACGGCGGCTCCAGTGGGGCTTGGGAGTGGTTCTGGTTCACTGGAGGACAAAGACGTAGCGATGTCAAGGTGGAATCAGGGGTATTCCTAGTGACAGGAGAGGCCTGGGTGCTCTTGGACCTCCAGTGCCATGGCTATCAGCCCCCCAACAGCTCCAAATGCTGTCCTGATATAGGGTGCACTCCTCAGAAAAGACAAACTTCATTGAGTGGGAGGCAGGAGTGTAAGGGAGAAAGGAGTTAGGGAAGATGAGGAGAGGAAGGCAAAGTGGGGTGGGGCGTGGGGTACCTCACTGTCCTCTCACCATCCAGACTGGGTCAGCAGTCACCATTTCTCTGTCCCCAGGCATTCTGGAACCTAGCAGCTTTCTCCAACTCCTCGTGGGCAGCCGTCGCCACTAACTGACTCCTGAGCTGATGCTGCCCCCTCAGCCTCTCCACTTTGCCCCTGCCACCCACCCCTGGCCCCACTATGACCACGTGTACTCAGGGGATCACTATTAATCTCCACATGTGAAAGAAGGGAGGGAGGGAAGGAACATAGCGAAAACTGACAGAAGACAAACAGAGGGATATTCTAAGGCTGTAAACCTAGGCAGGGCCTCAGGAGTGGTTTTTAGTCTGAAATATAAATAGAGCTGGCTTGAATTTTCTTCCTGTCTCGGTCCCTCAGACCCTGACCTCACAAAAACCCATCTGGACACTTGGCCAGGCAGGGAGCACTGAGGGGAGCTGAGGGGTAACTGGGCAGCTGAGGGGGCTCTAGGGGAAATCAGGGGAGGGGCAGAGTGAGGGGAAAGGAAAAAAGCATGAGTGAGAAAAGGGAGACAGTGAAGGGAGGGAAAGGAGAGAGAGGAATGGAGAGAAGGTGAACTGAGGGAGAAGAAACAGGAAGAAGTGAGAAAAGGGATGGGAAGCAAACGTCACGGCCATAAAAATGAGAGGAGGCCCCATTTGCTGAGCAGAAGGAGGTGCCCAGCCCCAGCTAAGCAGTCGACATGCCATTGTCCCATGGTACTGACTGCGGCCCTATGAGGTAGATGTTGCCCTTAGCTCTGTTTTACAGAGGAAAAGACCGAAGCTCAAGGAAATTAAGGGAATTGGCAAAGGGACACGGCTAATAAGTGGCTAAGGAGGGATCTACACCCGAGTTTGTCTGCTGCCCAGGGGTGATGGGGGGAAGGGTGGCAGAGGAAGGGAGGAGATACAGGGATGAGGGGACAGAGAGAGTGGAAGCCAGGGGAACAGACAGGGGTTCCAGGAGGAGGGCCATGGCAGGAGGCTTACAGGGCAGGTTCCTCTGATAGACTTGGGCCACTTCGTCAGCGAGACTGGCCAGCTCACAGGCCCTCAGTGCCCGGATGAGGGATTCCACCCAGCCGCTCCGCCGCTGAAGGCTGTTAAAGAGTTCCCAGATGGTGTTCCGGTTGCCCCTGTGATCGTAGCAGGCCCGCAGTAGGTCCTGGAAGACACAGCCCCATCTCCCTGCTCAAGCCAAGTTGCCCTGGTCCCTCTCCCACTCAGGAGGGGACAGCTGCAAAGAGAGGCACCAAGCAGCTATAAGGAAGAGGCAGCCATCTGAAATTGGGTCAGAGCCCAGGACAAGACTAGAGTTTGAGTTCAAGTTTAAAGGCAGCTACCAGGAAAGAGGCAGCTACTAGGCTCTCCAGCTCAGAGCTTTGTGTGAATTATCTTTTTTAATGCAATTATTACGCCTACTCTGCTGATGAGGAAACTGAGGCTTTGCAGAAAAGGTAGCAAAGATCCTACAGCAGTGGGGCAGGAATCCAAACCCAGTTAGTCTGATGCCAAAGTCTTGAGTTGGTTTATCCAGCCCCCAATACAAAAGAAAGGCCTTGGATTAGCAAAGGAGGAAAAGGTGTGTCAGAAACAGCAGATGAAGGGGGTGGGGTGGGGGGGTTAAGGAAAAGAGAAGAGGCCAACCATAAGAAACAGGGAGGATGAGGGACTGGGGCCATTCTGAGACAATGAAGTAGCTGCAGAGTTTTTAGATCCACCTGAATTCCCACATACAAACAAGCAACCAGATAGCAGAATAAAACCCACAGAAAATATTTACAGAAGAACACGGTGATGGAGTATCTCCACAAACCCCAAAATACAAGGGGAAATGGTCCAAACCCCATCAGCCACAGACCTGCATGCTAAAGGCATCTGTGGAGAGGAAGCAGAGGAGAACAGGGGGTTTCAGTCTGAGAACAGCAAAAATGGGAAGGGTCTGGCCCACTTCACTAGGGGCCCACAGCAAGTTCTGAGGAGGCTAAGGTGGCCTGGCACCCATGAACTCTCAAAACTGAACCTTGGGCTCCCTAGCAGGACAGGGTCCTGCAATAAAGAGAATATAATCAAAACTGAGCCAGAACCAGGACAAGCAAGATGAAGAAAAAGAAGGTTCCCAAAAAAGTGGGTGAGGAGCCCAGAGTCCGGAAATCTCAGGCAGCTGGCGCCATAATGTTGAACGTTACAACAAAACAACACCAGAGGGAGCTCAAGAAAGTCGGAAAGGCCACCCTGAACCACACTTCATTCTGAATGTTAGAAAAGCAGCAAGGACAGGAAGTGGGTACAGATGAGGAAGGATGGGGTTGGCTCTGGCTTGTGTGAAGCTCTGAATTCCACAGCCCTCCCCCCAAGTCTGGCTGTCTGTCTGTCATGCCCTGGCTCACCTGGTCACTTGCTGTGAGGCAAGACAGGTAAGGTAGAATCTCCAGAACATGAATACGGTAAAAATTTCGGTAATGGTGGCGGATATACTCAAAAGTCTTGTCCTCGGCAAACGTCATCACTGTCCAGGTTCTGAGGTAACAGAGGGCTCAGGCCCGTGGATGGACTGAGAGAAGGGGAAAAAAGACTGGAAGAAAACAGACCACACATGCAACAGGGTTGGACGTGGGGTTGGACAAAACACAATTCTTTCTTTCTCAAATGTTTGGAATTTTGGCTTCTCTCTTTAACCATCCTATTTTAGTGTTGCCTGAGTCTCAGAGACCCTCAAAGAATTTACTTAAAAGCAAATCGATGACCAAAAAGAAAATCATTTCCAGAAGAGTTAGGGCCCACTTCTGCCCTGCAAGTTGGTCAGTGTTGGGGAGAGTCTGGCTCCCTGCCATTGTCCCCAGGTCCGTATGTGCCCCTTAGCCACTGATAAAAAGAAGGCTACACCTAGAAGGGCTGCTTCTTTGAGGTACACTGGGGAAAAAAAAGAAGCAGCAGCCCAATGTAATAATAGGACCTATCCTATTTTATAGGTGAAGAAAATGAAGCATTAAGAAAGGGGACTTGATAGTGGAAGTGTAAAAAACTGAGGTCTTCGGGATCCAGGATCAGGTTCTTTCCAGAACATTATGCAGACCCACCATTAAAGCTTGATACATATACATGTTCTTAGGGTAGGAAGCTGAGATCCACAGCCCTGAACTCACTGTTGACCTGGGGCAAATTAAATCTTTTCCAGGCTTGTTCTTAACACCTAAAATGGCTCGAGAGCTTGTTTTGACAATATAGTTCTGTCTTATAAGCTTAAAGTTTACAAGTGCCTCAAATATAAGCAATTACTGCCAGGCACTTATGTAACACTTACCACAATTTGCAATTATAGATGCATTTGTTTGCTTATTTCTTATTTGCTTCCCCACAGGGAAGACCTGCAGGGAATAAGAGAGACAAGATCTCCGCCATCATCCAATTTATATTCTATTGGGGTGGGACAGATAACAAATCAGTAAACATATACATAAATAAGAATCCTGGATAGTAATAAAAGTTACAAAGAAAAAAAACAGCATAATGAGACAGAACCCCTGGAGAAGGGCATGTTGCTTAGACTGAGATAGTCAGGGCAGCCTTTCTGATTGGCCACATTTGAGCTGAGCTGTTCTTGACTGTGAGAAGATTGGTGTTTCTGGCAGAGGGCACAGCAAGTAAGAAGTCCTAAGGTGAGAAACAGGCTTGGCATGTTTGAAGAACAGAAAGCAGGTCAGGGTGGTCCAGGTTTAGAAAGCTAGGGGGAGGGGCAGAGATCAAGGTCAAGGAGGTGGGAGGAGCCACTTGTGTAAGAAAGGACGGTTATGTTTTATTGGGAGTGAAATGGGGAGCTACTGGAGGGTTCTGAGCAGGGAAGGGAGAGGATTTCTGTTGAAGACCTCTCTGGTGGTTGTGAGGAGCTTGGACTGTGGAGGGAGCAGGATGGAAGTAGGGAGACAAGTCAGCAGGCCACAGTAAGGGTCAGACACATAATAGGTATGGCTGGGATGGTAACCTTGAAGGTGGGGAGAGGTGGTTGAATTCTTGGTGTTCTGTAAATTTTGGAGGTGAGGGAGGGAGAAGACTCAAGGATAGGCCCTGGGTGAGTGGATGAATAGTGCCGTTTAGCCAGCCAGAGAATCCAGGGGAGGAGCCATGGCACATAGGGGACTCTAGAGCTCCATTTTGAACAAGTGAAGCTTGAGATGCTATTGGATCCAAGTGGGTTTTCAAGGAGGGAAAGGGGCAGAGGAGAGAAGGCCTGGCTGGAGTAGAAATGTAGGTGTCAGCCTTGAGTGAGACTTTCAGGAGACAGTGCTGCAGAAAGTACCAAAGAGCTACTGAGGCCACCGGTCCCTTGCCATAGGGGAAACCAGGCAGCAGTCCTGTCTACCAACTCCACAGCATCACGTTGCACGGCTTGCTCTGCCACCCACTAGCCGCTACATTTCCAGTGGGGCAAGCACTAATGACAGAGGTCAAGAGGATCGAGGAGGTGGGGCAGGGGTCCTCCAAGGCTTCAGGAGATGAGCAAAGAACTGTGTGGATCCTTTTCTCCTTCCCTCCCATGGCATCCAGAGAGGTATCAAGAGACATACATTCTTCTGCATTCAAGCCTCAGCCCTTAAGGCACAGAGTTTGGGGAGAAGGGGTTATGATATGGTCTCACCAAAAGGAAAAGAAGCCCGTATTTGTTCACATTTATTGAGGATCCACTATAGGCAGGCACATCCTAAATTTTTTTCATTTAATCCTTGCCACAAATCCATGAGAGAAGTGATGCCATGTTGCACAGCTGATCAGTGGCCCTGACAGGATTTGAACCCAGGATGTGTTGCCTCATTGCAGCTCACCATACACCTTGCAGAGCATAGAGGCCCCTGCAGCAAATGAGACTCACACAGTCCCTTCTTCAAGCTCAAGGAGGGGCCAAGGTCACTGCCTGAGTGAGGGAGGTCGCTGGTTGAGGGTGAGCCTGGGAGGATGCAACATTCAGTCCCTTTTCTTATGAGAAATGGAAATTTTTCAGACAGGTCTGAAGACCTTCTAACCGTGCCCTCCACAGCAGCGCGGTTCTCAGGTCGCTGACTCCCCTTCCAAAGGTTTTGGGGGCTCCACAGCATGTATACAGAGAACTTCGTTTTTGTTTTTATTTTTATCAGTGTTTTCCTGGCACCTCTTTCCAGCCTCAGAGAATATGGGAGACGGAGTGTTCCCGATCCATGCGCTGAGGAGTTTCCGACTAGTGTGTTTGAGAACTATCGACCGGCGTGGGAGGGGCGAGGCCTCACAGCCTCGGCTCCGATTCCTGAATTCCTGGATTCCTGGATTCCTGGGCCAGACCCAAACCCGCGGAGGGCGGAGAGACTGTTCTTATGAGCAAGTGTCACCACCGACAATTGTCAAGACCTAGGAGGGAGCTGTACTCCTTCTACCCCCAGGCGCGATCGCCTCGGCCCAAGGTTGGCGCACCCTGGCTAGGCCTCGCCCAGGGGTCACCCTGGGCCTGAGGGCGGCAGGAAGAGCTCAGCGGCCCGGCGCCCGCCTCCTTTCCGCCCAACAGCACACGCAGCGGGAGCAGACGCCCCGCACCGCCCACCTCGCCCAGCACCGCCCATCTCCCGACCTCCCGGTGCTGCATGTGGCGCGAGGAGCCCTAGCTGCCCCGACCCGAAGTGTCTTAGGGCCCTCTCTTCTCGAGCCTCGCGCGTCCAGTCTCCTCCCGGCCCCCCCGCATGCCCCAGATCTCGTGCGCTCTGGCAGACTCCGAGTCCCACTTGGGTTCTACCGCCGCGGGCCACCTTCCCAAAAGGCGTCCGTGCGCCCTGAGCCCAGAGGACCTAGCGCCCGGGGAGCCAATCTTACCTCCCGTAGCCACGACCGACCCGGCGACCTGCAGACAGCCTCGGACCTCCACCTACAGCCCGGAACCCTCCCCGGCTAGGAGGGAGGGACCTGGAGAGGGCCGTGGGGCCATTGGCCAGATGGCAGGGGCGGGACTTCGCGCCCCCCCGCCCCCAGTGGGCGGTGGGGGAGATCACTGGCCTACATTTAGGACCCCGGACTCCTGGATCTGCGCTCCGAACGGACCTAGTTTCCTGCAAGGGTGCGATGGAACAGATTATTTTCTTTAATTGTTCGGTGGAGAACTTTCAAGCGAAGTTCAGGGTCGGGCTAGAAACCAAATGGTAGCAGACCTCGGAGTCTGTGATGGGCTCGGTTCCCACCCTCCTTACGCAAGGTAACCCCTCCTCCCACTAAGTAATTTGAGAAGTGAGGGGCTCTATGTCCTTCGTTCCTGGGCTCCCAGGACCTGGCACAGTTAGTACTCAATAAATGTCGGGTGACTCACAAAGTTTACAAGGGTGCAAGTGCCCAGCCAGGCGATGCGCATGCTGGACCTGAGGAAGCAGGATCCCCGTGCAGAGCGTGGGCACCAAGGTTGGCTCTTAGGGCACGCTGGGTGTGGACCTTGAATGCTGCTGTGTGGGGAAGGCCTCTCCGCCCAAGGGTCTGAGGCTGGTACCTCCCTCCAGTGCTTGCCAACCGCTTTGTCCTTTCTCTGATGGGGCAGAGACTCTTGCTGAGGCTGAAGCCATCAATTACTGAGAGCGCCAACTGTGTTCCGGGTACCAGGTTTAAAGTTCGTATTATAGGGCCCATTAAATGCTCTCACAATAACAAGGTAGAGGTTTCTTTTTTCTGTTCTAAAGAGAGATTTAAAGATTTAGAGAAATGTTTGGCAGTTATTTCTAAAGTTTAAACATACACAACCCTATCACTCAGCAACCATTCCTGGGTTCATGTTTCCTGGGAAAAAAACTGGGTATGCGTCCACTTAGAAACATGAACAATAGATAATGTTCATAGTGGCTTTATTCACAATAGCCAAACTCTGGAAACTACCCAAAGGTCTATAAGTAGGAGAATGGCGAGACAAACTCTGGTGTGCTCACACTATGGAATAATATATAGCACTAAAGAGAACAAGCTATTGATACACACAACATGGTTGAATCTCACCAGGATGAATGGGCACAGCGGCTAAGCCAAGTACAGAGAGTACATGCTGTCTGTTCCCAGTCACAAGGTAAGGTTGAAAAACAGGCAAAACTCATCTATATATCCTATCACTAGTTACCTCTGGGGATGAGGCAAAAGGAGGAGTGAGGTAAAAGGGGGTGGGATAAAAGGGAGCCTTCTGGGGGGATGGAAATACTCTGTATATGTGAGTGTTGGGTATATGGACTTGTGCATATGTAAAAAAGCATCAGCTGTATACTTAAGGTTATACTTTATACTGTAACTTAAAAAAAAAAAAGACATCTGAGGGGTTAAGAGCTTTTACCAAGATCACATGCAAATGCCTGAGTACATACCTGTCTCCAAAGCCAGTGCTCCCAAACTGAATCGTAGGAAGATGCCTGAACACTTTTCAGATAAGATTTTATTACTTTATTTGGTAACCTTGTAGATATTTCACAACATTCAGCATTTACAAAATGTTAATATCGCACTTGAATTCAACTAACTAATAAAGCCAGCTCTGCCTTGTTTAGCCAATTCAGAGTGAACACTGATTGGTTCAAGAATTACTCTTGCCTGCTATTCACCCCAAATCCAGTGACCCCATATCTAATTCTTACTGGAAGAGCATTAGGAGTGTGGTGACTCGCTTCCAAATGCAGTCATCACCCCTGTTTTTGCTGGACCTCACAGGGCATTAAAAAAATATATAGCTTCGTCAAAAACACAATGAGAAACTGTCTTAGTCCATTTGGGCTGCTACAACAAAAATACCATAGACTGGCTGGCTTAATTAACAAATATTTATTTCTCACTTCTGGAAGCTGGGAAGTCCAAGACCAAGTTGTTGGCAGATTTGGTGTCTGGTAAGGTCCTGCTTCCTGGTTCATAGATATAGTCTTCCTGATGTTTCCTCATATGGCAGAAGGAGCAAGGGAGCTCTCTGGGGTCTTTTTTTCTTCTTCTTTTTATTCTGGGGTCTTCTTTAAAAGAGCACAAATTCCATTCATGAAGGTGTCACCATTATAACCTAATCACCTCCCAAAGACCCCCCACCTCCAAATACTATAACGTTAGGGATTAGGTTTCAATATATGAATGGGAGGGGGCGGACATAAACTTTCAGATTATAGATATCAACCATTAGGATGGCTATTATTAAAACAAATAGAAAATGACAAGTGTTTGGAAAGGATGTAGAGAAATTGGAAGCCTTGTACATTACTGGTGGGAATGTAAAGATGCTGCATCTGCTGTGGAAAACAGTATGGTGGTTCCTTAAAAAAATTAAAAATAGAATTGTTATAAGATCCAGCAATTCCATTTCGGGATACGTACCCAAAGAGATGAAAGCAATGACTGGAACAGATAGTTGTACACCCATGTTCATAGCAGCATATTCACAACAGTCAAAAGGTAGAAGCAACCCAAATGTCTATCAATGAATGAATGGATAAACAAAATGTGGTATATACATACAATAGAATATTATCCAGCCCTTAAAAAGGAAGGAAATTCTAACACACGCTATGACATGGATGAACTTTGAGGACAGTATGCTAAGTGAAATAAGCCAGTCACAGAAGGAAAATACTGTATGATTCCACTTATATGAAGTATCTAGAATAGTCAAATTCATAAAGACAGGAAGTGGAATGGTGGTTGCGATGGAAAATAGAGAATTTGTGGCTAATGGATAGAGAGGTTCAGTTGAAGACAATAAAAAAGTTCTGGAGATGAATGGTGATGATTGACAACAATATGAATGTACTTAATGCCACAGAACTGTACACTTAAAAATGATTAAAATTTTATGTTATATATATTTTGTCACAATAAAAATTCTGACCTATGTGGTTTCCTGACACCTTTGTCAGGAAACCGAAGGAGAGAATGACCTCACATCTATGGTATTCTTGCTAAAACTCATAACCATGAAGAAACACCAAACAAACCCAAAATGATGGACATTCAACAGCTGTCCTGTCCAATACAGTAATCACTTGCCACATGTGGCAATTTTAATTAAAATTAAATAGAGTGTAAAATTTATTATATCGACCCCACTAGCCACATTTTAAATGCAATTTTCATGTGGCTAATGGCTGTCATCATATTGGACAGCACAGATATAGAGCATTTCTATCATCGCCGAAAGTTCTATTGGACAGTACTGACCTATAGAATAACTCTCCAAAAATGTCAAGGCCATAAAAGACAGAGACTGAGAAACTATTCTCGATTAAAGAAGAATAAAGAGACATAACAACTGAAAACAATGTGGGATCCTGGGTTGGACCCTAAAACAGAAAAAGGACATCAGTGGGACAAGAGAAGTAATCTTACTAAGGCTTTTGGATTAGTTAATAATATTCTATCAGTATTAATTTTCTGATTTTGATCATTATACTGTGATTATATAAGATGTAAACATTCGTACTTTTTTGCAACTTTTTTAAGTCTAAAATTACTTCAAAATGAAAAATTAAAAAGTAAAATAAAATGTTAAGATCTTCTTTTGATCCTATCTGGCTGTTTATATTATCTTTTACTGTTGATTGCATTCCACTCTATTTCATGAGTAGAATTCACTCATCATTGTCCATTTATTAGTGGAAAGGTGAGTCCAGAGAGTGATCTATAGACCAGGCTGTCCTTCCCTGCCCCAGGGAGGGCATTGGAGCCCCCATCCCTAGTAAAACTGATCCCCAGGCAGGTGGCCTGTGTCTCCAAGCCAGTGCTCCAAGGAGGATTGTGGCTACTGTGGCTCGCATGTGATGACTCAGCAATCACCAGCTCATGTTTCCCCGTAGAGAGCAAAGTCAGGCCAAATATAGTGCCAGAAGGCCCCAAAAGGGGACATGTTCTCATACATGAGTCCCTTCAGGGAACTCTCCAAGACTAAAAAACAAAATATAATACCTGACTTTACAACCTTCTTTCAAATAAGTCTTTAAACTGCTATTCTTTAAACTATTTTATATTTTCATAATGTCAGTTTTATTGCAAAAAAATAATATATGCTCTATAAAGCCAGGGAAAAAATAATATATGCTTATAAAATTAATATGGGGAAAACAGACATGTTTGATGAAGGAAATCAAAACCCATACTCATAACGCCACCACCCAGGAGGAATTATGCTGGTGACACTCTGGTGTCTTCTAGTATTTTCTTTTCTATAAAACAGGACCTCTGAGTCCTCTGGCTTCCTGGAGTCCCCTTTGCCTTGACCAGCCACACGAGATTGTTTAAGCCATGATCTGGGACCTAACAGGGTCGGGTATGAGCCCTTACCTTTCAGGGGTCTCAGAAGGAGGGGGCTTAGATCATGTCAGATCATGGGTCAGTCCCTGCTGCATCTGGCTGCTCCAGGCCTGTCAAGCCCCTGTGGTCAGCATGGCCTACTCATCAGCCTCAGAGCATTGTGTTGCTGGTCACCTGTCACTCAGAGGCTGCCATCCTGCTATTCCTTCCCAAAAACAACTAACGTAAGTTGCTTGGCAACAGACATTTAAATGGGGGTTGGCAGGAAACAGGGAAATGAGTGCATGGGCAGCATAAGCCTTCAAAGTTAGATATCAGAGTTACTAAAATTCACGGACCTCCCCCAAGGCAGAAGACTTTTCTCTGGCCACATGCCTTCATGACCCCAGTGTCCTACCACACTGGCGGTGCCCTGTTTGCTTTCAACCCCTCTTGGTGTCTCTATCCTAGGGCCACTCGCCTAGAATCTCGAGCTCAGTGCAGAAAACAGAAGCCACCGTAGGTATTTTGTGCTTGGAAGGGTTTTGTTTCTTGAAGCATAATTTACATTCCATGAAACATATCTTAAGTGTACAATTTGATTAATTTTTATCCAAGTAAATACCTGTGTAACCAGTATCTAGATCAAGATATAGACTATTTTCCTTCTCCTCAGAAAG